CTCGCTGTCTGTCTCTCTGTCTGTCTCTCTGTCTGTCTGGCTGTCTGTCTGTCTGTCTGTCTGTCTGTCTCTGTCTGTCTGCCTGTCTATCGATCTAGTGTCTATCTGCTTGTCTCTATCTCCATCCTCGCCATTCCACAAGTACAGCTCTTCATGCAGGCATGCAGGCCATATGCGCATACATGCATGTTGGCCCGCGGAAGTAGGATCGAAGATCCACGCCGTCCACGCCATGCAAATCGAATGCATGAACTTTGGACCATCTACATATCATATCTCGTGAGACCGTACACCAATCAAAGCCCCCATGCGTGTTCGTCTTACGACACACAGCGTAAGCAAAACACGCCAGCGTTTTAGTGAAGAAGATGCGGGTGTGTGTTTGCGTCTACGTAAGCCAAACCATGTGCACAAAATCACACGCTCCGACTCAGATTATATAGTTTGTTGCACGTGTCACTACATCTGCTACTTGTACTCGTCCTGTGCTGCGACCCTGAAGATCGCACAGAGTGGATCGCACCAGTGAAGGATGGCTTTTGCAGCCTATGCCGCTAGCGTCAAATCTAAACGCGCAAGCACTTGGCACATTCCAGTCGGGCACTTTGAGTGCAAGGCGCAGAGCTTCAACGAGCCGGCCCCGGACTCCAATTTCCACGAAGGCCTCACTAAGGCAACCCTGAAGCAGGCAATGCAATGCAGCATCGTGATTCTGGCGGTATAGCTGCGGAAGCCCCAAGAACATCCGAGGACAAATTCATCTTCGGCACGCCTTCACGATCTCTCGAAAAGCAGCCTGGTCCTGCATTATGTGCAAATGCGCACCAACCAGGCAACAAATGACAAAAGGGCTCCAGAGTGCAGCGCTTTGCCATTCAGATCGTTCGAAGCTACTTAGGACACCAATTCAAATGAGCATCTGCAGCACGTCTCAGCAAGCGCAACTCACCTCGAGGTTCGCGCCAGGCACAGACGGTGAAGACCTGGCATGAACCGGCCATAGCTGCCCTCATCGCGAGGTCACAGATGTCAAAATCTATGCTCGAAATTCTCAAAGGCAGCTAGATGTCTGAAGCCTGACCGCACACTTGTCCTTGGTTGGGGTCCTCATTGTTCGCACGGTCACTCTCCCTCGTGGCAGTTGCACAAAGACTCTCCCTTGCACCTGTCCTCAGCGCTGCCTTCAATAAGTCTCCAGGTCCGACGCGACCGGCCTTCCAAATGGGTTGCAACATCATCGGGAGGAGCAAATCGACTTGTCACGTGGGCATTCGTCCTCACATGTCAAGATGGGGTTCGAGGTGCGGGTGGTCAGTACAATTCCCAGCACAAGTAGAACAACTACCGACCACCGCGACCGGGCTGGATCTCCCACCGAACCGCCGCCAACAGCGCCGGAGATAGCCGAGAAGTACGAAGATACGACGGACCCAGCCTGCAGGCAGATAGTCAGCTCTGTATCGCAGGAAAACCCTAAGTCTGAGACATCGATAAACGCGAAGGGATAAACTTGGAGCAGAAAAGACACATGAAAAGAAATGAAAAGAAGGAAATACGGTTTCGCGATGTTTCGCGGCCTCATTGCTGCCCTCGCTGATGCGCCTTCGCAGAGGCCACAAGAACCGAGGAACCGAATCTCTGAAAAGGCTCAAGGAGTGCTCAAGGCAACATCTCTTCTCAAACTTGGACACTGTCTTGGTTTCAGGATGTTTCAGGTGTCAGATCCCCTCAATTCATCTAGACGTTTCGGGCGTCCCTGCGACAGTGTGTCGCCATCGGCCGCTGTCCTGCAAGCGGCCGCAGGCCCACTGCTGGATGCAAGGACTCTTGACACTGCCCTAAACCCTAAACCCGTTATCATATCTCGCTTGTGGCTTTCAAAATGTCACAGTCAAGCAAAAACAGACCGCCGAGCCGAGCATTTTGCCAACGGGCTGCAAGGGACCGGTTTGACTCTTCCCTCGTCCTTGCGCCTCGGGCCCAAGGCCAAGCTAACCTAGTTGCCACTGGTAAGCCGTATTGAGCCCGGCATCGACGATGAGCCAGCTTCTGAGACAGCAGGATGGTGGAAGCTGCTGAAAACTCACGGGCCCAACAACTCGAACTGTTGCGAAGAAGCCTGGGAAGGGGCCTACGTTTCTTTTCCGTCACTGACCTTCTCTCCCCAAGTGCTGCTGCCGCCATACACGACTTGCTCGGAAATCTCGGGAGGTGTAACAGTGCGTCAATGCCACCAACTCCCAGTGGCTTGTGGTACCGAGACAATTTGACCTTCGTTTTCCCACAGACCGCCGGGAAAATTAGCACAAATGCAGGTTCATGCGCATCCAGTTGCGACTCGCATGCCAAATTAGCTGCAGTGGGCACTACATGGCACCCCAGCATAGATAGGATTCCCATGCACTGAAGCAAAGGTCGGGAATCAGAGATGAAGACAACAGAGAGACTGCCTGGGTGGGTTGAGGATGGTACCCCAAGACTGTCGCTCCTGCCCGGACGCATGGCTACACTGTCATCGGCTGGTGCGCTGAGAAGCGCTTACGCTTCTGCTTACGTGCTTGATTCAGCAGAGCATGCCAGAATGGCTAACACACCTCTCCTGGTTTGTTCACGAGTGCATCGAAGACAAGTCCAGAGTTCTATGCACTGAAGCAAAGTTAAGTCGAGCCATGAGTCGTACAGTAAATACCCAGCCCCACAGAAATCTGGTGTTGCTGGCCCTGTGCAGCTGACAAATAGCTGCGGCATGAGTCTTCCAGTCTGGATGGCGTCAAAGGTCGTGTTGTAATCTAGCCAGTGCTGCGGAACATCAATGCTACTTCATGTGTTGCGCGGTTCCAAGATGATCAAGATGCAGCACCAACCGAAAACTAACAGCATGGCCAAACCATGCCAAACCCATGTCCCGCATGCATCCAGAACCTGCTGCCAGATAAGTTTAAGGGATTAACATTAATTAACATGTATTTGCCCTTACCCACCATGAGACGCCCGAAGTCCAACACATGGTAGCACCAGGGACGCATCTGAACCCATACTCAGCTTTGAGGGGCTAGCGCCGTCGTCGCGGAAGCACGACATGATGCAAGATGTTGGTGCAGTGTCCCTGTACTGAGCCAGGACCACCGGGTCCACACTGGTGTCTTCTCGCACTTCGGAACTCAACCGTCGCGGATCAAAACTTCAGAGCGCCCAGACTGGAGATCGCTAAGGGCTAGCTCAAGGAAGTCCTGCTGCTCTTGATCGCAGATGTACTCGAGCGAAAGCGTGGTCTGCCCTCCTGCAGCACCTGGACAGCCATGGCGTGGCGGGGTCCTTGGTCGTGGTTTAGGTGCTTGGGCACACTGCCACTGCATCCGAGCTGTTTCGGTGAAACGGCTCCAATGCACTACTAATTACATCCGACGAATGCATGCTGCTTTACACGACTTCCTCGGGCAGGCATCTTTGACGTTCTGTAGCACAGCTTATCAGCAGTCCTAAGTTCCTGAACGCCATGTGCAAGCAGGAGTGCACCAGTGAGGCGATGTTCAGAAGTGTGTCAAATGTTGCGGATCTTCAGACTGTGCACAGCAAACATTGCACACTTTTCAGCGCCTGAAAGCTTCACGGGGGTTCATAGACTCCCTGGTTCCATGGCAACTGGCTGACAGATCTGATCTGGACGATGCGGGCCACTTGTGAACAGTTTTCATTCGGAAATAGATCCGTGAATTTATTGCAGGAAGGTCCTCCACGTCTCTGCACAGGCACCGAACCGTACAACTGATGCGACTGACATGCCGGCAGAACTTGGCAGCATCAGGCCGTGGAGCAAAATTGCGGCTCCCTGACTAGTTTACTTTAGCGCAACATCTAGAATCAAAAGCAACCGAGCTCCATACACTGCAGTATGTCCTGGACACTCACAGTCATGGCCGCAATGCTAGGCCACTAGCAGGGCAGTCTGCCGTCATAGAGGCATGGCAACCCCATCCACGCCTGCCCTCCACGGAACGCTGATGCATCCGTCCCATGGCCGCTTGCGAACCGACAAGACTTATGCTTCTGGGCTTGCTGTGTGACCCACCACGCTCAACTATCTCAACTACAAGATTTCTGATACATACGGATACTGAAGCTTCGGCAATGCAGGCCAATCTGGACTGAGCTGGCCAGCATCATGCGATCACGGAGTCGTTCGGATCTTTCAGCGGCCACCTGTAAGTAAGCAGGAATTCTTCTGCAGGGCGATGCATGTGTCGCCCATAAGCCCAATGAATCCAATGATGCTGCCATGATGAATGAGCGCAGCTGGATGTGCAAATGCTCGAGCATCATGCGCCACAAAGCTTTGCAGGCATTTGGTGAGCCTAACTGCCATTCTCTCGTCTTGCTTCTTGCTGGCATCAAGAATAAAATCGCCTCGGCCCGGCTGGACCGTGAAAGGTTCCGCTCCTCTGGCATCCTCCTCCCCACCGCCTAGCCGCCCCCGTTCCTTCCCATCCCCACTTCTTTGCTCTGGCTCGCACGCTGCGTGCTTACATTCTTACGGCTGCTGCAGCCTGTCCTAGGAACTTTGAGTAGCAAAGAAGTTGGAGTGTTTGAGGTCGCAATCTGATACCACCCTGCTTCTGCTGAACTCAACAGCACATCTAAGACTGCACCAGCGCAGCAGTCAACAGCACATCAAGGATTGCCTGTAGCAGACGGCGCGGAGCATTAACAAACCATCGCTACGCGTTGCTTTGCCTGTCTGCTCCATGGCCACATCAATCAAATCCTCGTCCTGCTGTGCTGACATGTCTTGGGCTGCCAAAGCATCGAATGGAATTTCCATACGTGCGATTCTGTTCTGCACCGTCGGAGATCTCTCCTCGAGTCCCAGCTTCTCGGCCGTGTCATCGGCAGCGATTCGCTCTCCGTCCACCATGAACCGAACCTCCCAAAAGCAAAGTTCAAAGGCGGAGCTCATGTACTTGTGTCAAGAAATGTCGCCAGCAGGCCAGGCAGGACAACTTCGGAGACAGTTGTGGGACCGAGTCGGTACCGTGCCGCACCTTAACTATCTGGTCTTTGGCCGGCCTGGGATGCTTGTAGGCCCAGGCGGCTGCAATAGGCATCCATGAGCTTCCTGGAGCGGGATTCAACTGCAGAGCTTTCAGGTGCCTCAGTCCGAGCCTCAGAGGAGTTGTCTTCTTGATTTTGAACTGGACCTTGCGACTGCCGCCCTGCGTCCCAGATTTCAGAAACCACTCAGTCCCAAGCCTCGCTGCCTTGCTGGTCCTTCACCTGCAACACACGCCGGCATAGTTGTATCGCCAGCAAGGGCTGCAAAGAGATCAGCAACCGGCATCTTACTAACTGGGCCTTCAGCTGGATGTGCTGCGGGGCATCAGCAGCCTGTTACATTCCGGCCTGCAAGCCTTCTGTGTGCAACTGTAGGATCCATTGCCTCGGCCATCTTTGGAAGCCTGGCGCAAGTTTCGCCAGCACGTCTACAGTGCAACAGTCTACTCTCGGAGTGATTGCCTTTGAAGATTGTGGATGGCGGCTTGGAGAGCTTTGACGAGGCTTGAGGCAAACAGCAACAATGACGGCTCTGCTGCATGCAGGCCACTGCAATGCCCAGGGCAGTACGTGGCAGTCTAACAATAGAGAGTGTGCAAACTATCAGGATTGCCTGCGGAGCAATTTTAAAGCGAGCGGCTGATCGCCACTTTTCGTGTTCTGACTGTGGGACACTGAGGTCGGGTGCTACCCGACCGCTATTGAAGCACGAGGCGCTTCCAAGACGGCAACAGCTCTCAGAGGTGGCACTCGGAATTCGGAATAGATCGGAATGCAGCGGGAGCCGTGCGTGAGCCGTGAGTGGCCGAAAGCCGCCTATAGCCGCCTCTCCTCGGTACTCGGAGCTGCTCTGCGGCTTCGCCGTGCAGAGCTGCCTGCTTCGCTCCCTCGTGTGAACGTTTGTCTGAGATTCTGCTGAAGCAACATTCTTAGCCGAAGCGACAACGGGCGATGTATATTTGATCTATCGGAGTGGCCGATGGAAGTCTTCAAACATCTGTAATCTGGTTTCGCAAGAGTGCAAAGCAAGCTGACACATCACATGCACGCTTAGAGGGAAATGCAGCGCAATCTGTACTCCAAAGCCCACATTCTCCACAGTTGGGGTGAGACCAATGTGGTTTAAAGAATGATGCTGACACAGGCACGGTGTGGGGACGGCGCCTCTCACCGTGCGAGTGCTCGTCCGTTTATCACCCCAGAGGCGAATCCTTCAAGCGCTCAAGCCTCTGCGAGTCTGTACAGTCATGGATTGGGATCGCTGCGAGAGATGCTCCAAACAGGCGCATCATGAGCATCATGGCTTGCCTGTTCTATCCGCCCGAGTGTCACGCAATTTCTTCTGTTCCAGCAGTATGGCATTCAAACAGGGATCAAGCGTGCGACTGACAAACGGAAACACATGCCGCTGAAGCCTCCGCATACCGACTGGCCGAGTGCAATACCGGAACGGATGGAGAATATGAACTCGAGCGACGAGGAGCTCCATGCCTGTGGCAACGATTCGGAGCCTGAAACTGGCGCTGTCCCCACAAGGGAGACTCAGTCGGCGCAGCTTGCTCGACAAAGAGGGCAGATGGTTGCTCGTTGCCTCGGGAGAACCGAGGGCAGCATGGGGCAGCGTGGGGCAGGGTGGCACACAAAGTCAGGATCCGACATCCACCCTGCCACGCACCTTAGCAACCCAGCCAGCCGCTGTTCCGCACAAGCAAGAGGATGCAAGAGGCTCCAGCTCCACATGGAAAAAATGTCCGCAGGGCAGCGCTGTGAGAAGCTCGCCCTCCTGCGAGTTTTCAGCAAATCGAGCATCTGAGTAGCGGCTCCACGCCCATCCACGCCCAACCAAAACTGCAGTCCTCAAAGGCTTCTAAGCATATGGAGCACTGCTGCGTGTCTGTGGCAGTGAAACGCACCTTTCAGCAGTTGCACAAGAGTCGACCAAAAGCCCACTGTGACGGGAAAGCGCGACTG